AAAATCAAAATAGGGAAACAAATCTTTGACGCCACCAAAGCTCTAATAAGCCCAGCCAACACCGAAGTGAGATGTTTTCACGAATAAGCCAACACTTTTCTGCCCTCTGTTTACCCAATGTGCTTTACACCGATGAGTACATCGATTTCGACTTGATATTCGCTAATCAGTGGATCAGAATATCTGTAATTCGATAGCTGATAGTTGACGCAAAGAAAATTGAATACGTTTTATCGAGTTCGAACTGGTATGTAAAATCAATTAGTTCTTCATATTCTCACATTTTAGAGACTGATGAAGATTGCTGTTTATGGGTCAATCTTTTTCAAAATCGTAAAAACCTCTATCATATTAAATTCATTGCAAGTTATTTTTATTTTTGAGTACATTTAAAAAGAAAGCCCGGCTTTAAAATATTTATTGACAAAACCCTCAATTAATATGATGTTGGAAAAAAGTTATCATAAATCGTAATGGGACAAATTACGGTGTGACGAATTCTCCGATTTACTGATCCAAATAATAAAAATTATTAGTTGTACTTTTCAAATAAAATTATTTCAAATGAAAATTAATATATTTATTAACTAAAATTTCTTCATCTATTTTTATAGCGGGGTTAAAAGATATTTATTTGCGCGGGAATTTTATACCCTACGCCAAGGTCGTACGCAGCTTTTCTCAAAGGGAGCCAACAAATTCAATTTTTGATTAAATAATAATTTATGCGTATGATCAACAGAAAAACTTCCAACCTTCAGGTATTACAACAGCTTTATTAGTATGAGCGTTGGACACAATTTGTGCCAAAGAGTATTTCTTCCAAAGATAATTTTCCAATTATATAATTTTTACAAAAGTCAACCGTTCTTCCTTCTATGTGTTGCATTATACATTCTTACTTTTCAGTTAAGGATATTAAAAGCAAGTTAAATAGGTGCAATATTTTTTTTTTTTTAAATCTTGTTAGTATCGATGGACATTCAACAAATAATTTTGGTTAGCAATAAGTGCTTTCTGTTTTGAAATTTTTGATTAATAGGCTTAAACTATTATTGATAGTAATTGTTCGATAAAACGTCCATTCTAAAGTATAATATTATTCGTTTAAGTTCGTTATTTTCAATTTATGCGATTGTTTTCCTAAATTTATATCTAAATTTCCAGTCATCTATCGTAGTTTTACTTTGATTTATATTTTCATAGGAAACCAATCAAAATTAAGAATAAACAACGGTTGCGGGTGGAATTTTGTGTTGATTGAAGGCATGTAAATTCGAATTAAAATGTTTAGATTTTCAGATGGAGCTGGGCATCAAGCCACGTGATCAACACGTACATTAACGGGTATACGTATACAAACTTGTCTATTTGAGTTTTTCTCACATCGACTTCTTGATTCTGTGGCCGTTCTAATGTCCATTTACAGATGAAGAGTTCCGTTTGCTGCCTAAATCCATTTTTGGCGATCTATTTGTACTTCTTGCGGCACAGAGTTTTGATTTGAGTTTTCAATTAACACCATGGCCAATGCTGCTTTACCACAGGCGGCTACCAAGAACAACAGAGAAGCTGCGGTTTCAACTGTACCCGGACATATTCGGAAAGTGGCCCCAAAGAGTCGCCATGTTTCCAGTTTGTGATCTCGCCTTTGTTGATTTGACGATGTTGCCATGGAAAGGTTCATTTTGTCAGCACACTTTGTTGCCTAATTCGGCAATTGTGCTGCACACACATATATAAAAAAATTCCACACAATGCTTGACAACATATCTATATTGCATGCAGGAGGAATACGCCGGAAACTAATAAGAAGGAAGCGCACGGCCCGCCCTGCCCATCAAACACAGAGCTCAGACAGACGGTCGAGCTTTGAACGTCGCCAACAGGTGACTGCGAGCGTCTGACACGTGCAGACTGAGGGGCTGAGAGAGCGGGGATTCGCCATGGCAACAACAACAAATACAACAACATTGAAAATGGAAAATGGCAATGGCAAATGGCACGCGCACTTTTCTTTTGACAAGAAGGCAGCTTAGAGTTATGCCTCTGACGCTTTTATTAAAAAACACAAAGCGCAGGCAAATAACAGAAATTCCACAGTTATTCCAGCAACTGTAGCAGCAGCGCCAACAACAACAGCAACCACACTCAAAGCTTCCCTCCGCGCAGCAATTATCGCTAGAATACCTCTCGTCTACAGACTTCTGGAAGAGACTGTGCTCGGGCTGCGGTTGTCAGGGCAACCAGCCAGCAAGCCAAACTATTTATGACCCGCTTTGATGCAAGCATCGGCATTTCTTATCCACTTGCCAGAGAATGGCCGAGACACACTTATAATTGAAATTTAAATACATGGATGCCCATTCATACATATATGGTACGATATTTATAATGTGATATTAATTTTGACTAACTCTAAAAATTGAAAGTAAAAATATGAAAATAATAATATTTATGTTTTAACTACTTTTTTGCGGGCTAAGGTCTCCTATTAACAATCAATCTATTTCCTAGTAAAGTTTTTAGTTTAGTTTTTTAAAAACCATTACAAACAAAGTACACAGCTACGTCGCCTAGCCTAGTTGCTTTGTTTAAAAATACTTTTGCGTTTTAATATTATATATCTGTATTACAATAGCAACATTACTAAACAATTACCAGAAATTGTTATTTGTTTAACACAAATACAAAACATAATATCAATAAACACAGACTTAATACTGTTACTTATAGACCCAGCTAATGGATTGGGAATTATTATTACCTGCCAGGCACAAAATAAATTAAAGTAAACTCAGAGCGTTTAATTGGTAATTTTCATTTATTGTCCTTCTTAGCTGTTACACAAACAGAAAGTATTACAAATTAAGAAACGTTCCGTCTATTTGATTTCACCGAATTGTGTATTCTTCAAATAAATTGCCTCTTACGCCTTGACTTCTTCATTTTAGGAACTACAAATAAAAATATAAATATAAGTAAAAAAGTAATTATAAAAGATGTCTTGTTTTTGATAAAGATTCCTAATTTTAAAGGGATAAGAGCGCGGCTATTTTGTTGAGATGGCATATCAAATAGTTCGCGCGCTCCATTTATCGATAAGTGCGAATAATCGATTGCAGCAGGACTCAAATAGCTGTCAGTTTCATTATCGAGCCACCGCTGCATATCGACCACAAAAGAGCAGCTCGTTTGGTAGCCGCCCCCAAATGGCAGCTCTATTTATCCGTTATATGTGGTGGGCGGTGCTTAGCGCATTCTTTTTGTCCCGCTCCCACATATACTTCGTGTGAGTCGGCAAAGGAGATAGCAGTTGCGTGTTCCATGCGTGCGGCAGCAAAAATGGCAGACGAGCAGTCGAGCTGCTGTTGTCTCGCTTGCGCCACCTTGACCTCCATATTGGGGAACGGTTTCGCCGTCAGCTGCTGCCCTCCAGCCCCCGCCGAAGTTCACTTGCAAATCAATGCACATGATAACCAGAAGGCAGATAACACGCGCTATACCCGCGCTATTCGGATTTTTTGCTCTGTTTTTTTTTTTTCTATTTTGCGCTCGTCGATTGTTTGGCAAACTTCGTCGAGGGAGGGTCGTGTGCGGGGCGTTGGGCGGTGGTGGCGATTGAATTCGACGCCGATGCCAGCAGCAAGTAGCAAGCAGCGAGCAGCCAGCGTCCAAAACCCAGAGACAGCATAGCTGGCAGCCAACGTTAACGGCAGCGTTATCATCATCGAGTCAATATTCGTTTTGATTTTTTCGCATTTGTCTCAAATGCGAGCGAGGCCGCTTGGTAAACGTTACGCGTCCCGTTCGTCACGGTTTGTGCCAAACACAAGTAGTTGAGATTTTGCAATACTGTGGAGCGGAGAGGCCGTCGCTAAACCGGAAGCGTCGACTTATTTGTTGACTCTCGAATCTTCATTCCCTGCAATGTGAATTTGCATAAAATATTCAAATGGAAAATTCCACGTGATTGTGTAAATCGAATTAAGAAAGTGTGCCAGCAATCCGAAAAACTACGAAAATAATTAAAAGAAAATAAACAAAGAAGAAACCGCACCCGCAAGTCAACCTCAATCGGGTCAAACAGCAAAAGTTGTGGCCCAAGCTTCAAGCTTGATGTTATTTGGCCACAACACGCTGACATTGTCCAGCGTCCGACTGTCAGGTGGCCAAACATTTTACCATTTTACCAATAAACATACAACTTCCGTTTGATTCCGTGTACTTTTGTTTGCCTCGCTTATACATACATACTACGTCTACGTGCGTGTAACTTTGTCTCTGTCAGTGTATGTATGTGTGTGTGTGCGTGCGTGAATTTATCAGTGTGTTGTGTTTGCGTGCGTGTCCAGAACGCCCCCCAAACTTTTCAACTTCCGAGCAAAGTGACTTCGATTTAATTTCCTTGGCTTTTTAATGGTCAAGACATTTAATTAATTTTACGATGGCCATTTGAGAGTCTTAAACGCGACTGAACCGAACCGAAGAACTGGATCGTGGTTGTCCTCTGGATCAAGTCGTGGCCTCATGAGGTGAGTAAAATATCATAAAACGAAGGCGGGCTAACTGTTGTCCGATGTGTGATTGATGTGAACAATATTCAGATGCATACACTCACATAAATATTTTTCATATGTACATACATAATCGTATATATTTCTTGAGAAACTCTTCAAAGTATATATATTTAAATGCGAAGGGTTTGAAAAAGAATATATTGCTTAATAGCGAAAAAAAAAAACTAATGAGCAAAGGCAGTTTCATATGATATTTGAAGAATTCATATGTACATACATACATATAATTGCAAACATATTTTACATGTTACTAAAAGCAGATACATGCAATTTGTTTTTCTTTTAGTCACTCCAAGTCCACTTTACCTCTGAAATGTAATTTTTAACTGGGTGTGGCATATAAAAACGTACTGTGATAGACGAGTATACGAGAGGAAACTTTGGATTCTTCAAAACTAAAACTTAGCTACGTTACTGGAAAATTGTCCAATTCAATTGAATTGAATTGAGTTCGATATTGGAGCACTAATACAGACAAAAGGCAACAAGCTGTCGACGTTATCGATACGCAACTTCTCGGCAAACATGCTGAACAATCTTGGGGCCAATGTGCTGGGTAAGTTGTAAAACGATGCCGACAACAATAACAATACTCGTAAAAAACAACGAATAATACAAAACAACTCATTACGGCTGTAAAGTGCGTGCGGCCGAAAGAGAGGCAAGTGCAGAGACAAAGTAAGAGACAGAGTGATGGAGAGAATGTGTGGGAGGGAGAGGGTAATGTTTTTTTTTTTTTAAGGTAGACGACCTACCGTCCAGCTGAGCGAGTGAAGCGTATAATATTGTAATTAAGATCGGCAAGTGAATTGCGCTAATATATAATAATGTGTATATTAATCTGTAGCTGTTCGGCTATAATTAAACTAATTTCTTGGGCATATACCACTGAGGGGTCCAGCTGGTCGAGCATTGCTCAGCATCCAAATGGAATGTAGATGTACGAGTACTCGCCGCTGCTTCCGAGCTTTCGAGTTATGCCCAATAACGCTAAATGCTCTATAATTGAGCCGTCTAATAGCTGTCAGCTGTTGGCAGCCGGAGTGTTTGGCGCCAGTGTCGCGTGCATTTAGCAATAATTAAGTTGTATTTGACTAACTTGCATTTTTGTTTGCCTGTGTGTGGGTGGGCGTGTGGATGTGAATGGGCGAGTGTATGTACAGTCGTAAGGGTGTGTGTGTGTGTGTGTGTTAATTGCCATAATTGCTCTTTCAAATATGCCGCAAATAATATGAACTGTAAATTACATTTGTACATCATTATGGATCCCAGCTCCATATTGGCATTATTCATAAATATATATTTTTACCACATTGTTGATAATTTTTCAAGCACTTTCAATTTCGACAATCAATTTTTAGCTGCCACCATCGTTGCAACTGAAAATTATGTTCGTCCAACGAATTGCCTGCGTTTTTATTCAATTGCAATTTTTCAACTTTTCTGTTTTCCATACACATACATATACTTGTATACCCGTACATGCATATATAAAAGTCCTTGCAACTTTTTAACCCCTTCCACCAAATATTTACTTGCCATTTCGCTTGCACTCGCTCCGGCTAGTGAGCGAACGCAGTCGTTGCTGGCAACAAGTAATTAATTACTTTTATTAATTTATTGCCAGTTTTTCACACGCGTTGCCTTTTGCATGCGCAATAAATTAAGCGAAAATATTGAAAAATGCATTGAAATAAGTTATGTTTCATTGGCCACAAATGCTGCAAATTTAATTTCACTTCAATGCCGTTTGGCGATATTTGTGTGCACCAACAAACAATAAAGTTTGAAACGAAGGAAACACAATTCCCACCAATACCCCCATTCACCCCACACATTCGAACTATAAATTTTCATAAGGCTCTGTGTTTGGGGCAGGCCGAAAATCCAGGCGCCAAATCCTACCTGCAGCAGGCTCGCTCCTAATAAATTTACTAAGCCTTTTACTTTTGCCAGCAACACCAGCAGCAGCTGTAGCGATAACTATGTACGGTACGAGAGGAAAGCGCATTTGCATATAGCGCACATTAAGTATACGCAGCGTTGCCCCAGACAGCTGGTCGTGTGCTTTTGTGAGAAGGTGGGGGTCGCGTACAATTAAGCGCAATTTGCATGCAAAAGAAATGCCAAAACAACACCAATAGTAACAATAGCAACAACTTGCTCAAACAGAGCGGAGCGGAGCGGAGCGAAACATCCTACCCTTGCCCCAAAGCCCATTCATTTGCATCTCTGTCGAAAAACTTAAATCGCTGGCATTTTCAGTGGGCTTCCATTTAATGGAAAATAAACATTTTCGTAATGTTTTTGGTACATAGTCCTTTCGTAGCCAGTTTTCGGCTTTTTCGCAGTCGGATTAATTAAATTAATTTCCTGATTGCATTTGTAATTTGTGCACAACAGGCCGCCAAAGTCGTCCTCATCCAGTACGTTTCACATTTTTGTGGTCGCCTGTGCCTGATGAAATATGTGCACTGTGGGTGCCTCGCCACCCCCCAACCCTCACGATTTCCGCCATTCGTATTGAAATGTTATGCGGTTGTGCCAGCTCTGCATAGTGCTGTGGTTTCACGGACTCCATCCTGCTTGGGTCGCTCTTCCTAAAAACCGCACAATATCCAAACTTCAATAATTATACGCAATGTGTGCAACTGACGACGAAGCTGCTAACTGTAATGCAATGCTAGGCTTTTCACATGCACACTATAACAACGACAACAACGACAACAACGACAACAACGACAACAACAACAACAATTTACCATATATTTTGCGGTTGTACTTGCATTTGCTGCAATCGCGCGCACACACGCAACTGATTTGCGCAAATTGTGCAAATTGCTTGCGCGATAAATTCATGTTTGCCAATTTTAATTAATTAATCGCTTTGTGGTTTTCATTTTGCTTTTCCAAAAACATGCCTACGTTCCAAATTTGGCTTTTTCCCTGCCCCTTTGCTCCATACACAGTACACAATAAATGACTGCCATGCCTAAACTGGCGGCCTGTTGCTTTGTATTTAGGATCGTTGGAATGGGTGCGATTGGGTGAATCTGCTATTAAACTTAATAGGCTTTGAATGTCACATACATAGTGCAGCTTATATTATATACCGCGCACAAGTCCAATAATTTGAACAAACATTTGATTGATTAGACATTTCAATGGAAAGGCACAAAATATGTGTATTCCATACATATGCATAGACTGATTGATTTGACTTCGTGTCTAATAACTCATAATTAGGCATTGCGTTGATTAATTATGCTTATTATGATCTCAAAAATATGGTACTATATTCCTATTTTGAACTAAGGTCAGCTGTTGTATTAGGTGATAGCATATGGACAAAAAGTGCAATCAAACTGCTATTAGAAATAGATAGAAATGATTTAATTTTTGAAAAATTGTATTGGAACGCGTGGGTAAATAATTCTACTTAAAATAAGCAACGAACGTTCTTTGTTTCATAATTGTCTGTATAAAATGTATTGGGTCTAATGTTTAGTCTTTTTTAATGGCTGAATCAATTTGTTAAGAAATGAGAGATTCAAAAAAGTAGAAAAGAAATACTATATTTTCATTTTGTAAGCAATGAAATGTCCAAAGATATGATTTCAGAATCTCTCATACAGTTGCTAATGCTGGTTTGGTCTTTCGTATTTGCGAATAACTGTCTGTTGCAGCTGATCGCACTTGACTCACAATTACCTACAAATAGAATGGCGAAATCAGCAAGTGCGATTTCAAGAAGTGGCGCTACCCTATCCACGAACCAAGCCCTAATCTTGTTGCCCCTACAGAAGTAAGCAGCGCACTTTAATGTTAAAAGTCGCACTTGCTTGCAGCACAACAAACAACAAACAACTAACCAACGAAGCAACGGACCTCGAACACGACTAAACGCTTCTGCCGGAGCTTGCTTAGCCACAAAGAGCAGACAAAATGCGTTCGAGCGCAAATTGTGCGACTATGGCAGAGATATCGCACCTAACACCGCGCCTTAAATTTACTAATCACGACCCAATGGAGTCGGGTGGGGGGTGGGAAGCGGAGGCAACAACTGCGTGCGTGTCGTGCGTGTGATCTTCCAGACAGACACTTGAAGAAAAAGCTATTAGCCTACATACTATAGACTCGTATATATAGTACATACGAGCGTGTGTGAGGATATAATGTTGTTACATCTATCAGTTTATTATACTTTGGAACAATAGAACTAAACCTCACAAATATTAGCTAAAATATAAGTATTTTATTTTAAAAAAAATTCAAACTAAACCTCACAATTATTAGTTAAAATATATGAATTTTTTATAGAAATTTTCTCAAACTACGCGAAAGTTTTTATTATTTCATTTTTATTATTGTTCTGATGTCGAAGGTAGATTTGTTTCTAATTTGCAACAGTTCTGCTGAACTTAATATTTAAAAGCTTAGAGTCGTAAATTAGAAGCGAAGGAAGGTAAACACATTGAATGAAGTTTATTTTCTGCTATTTTTTATATTTTTTAAAGTATAGTAAATATGTCTTCAATCATTAATTGATTTTAAATGATTTCATTTTTTTATACCTTGTACCCAAAGGGGGGAGTGGCAGACACAATAAGGCATATATAGTATTCTAGTATAGTATATCAGTATAAGGAGACGAGTCGATACAGCTATGTCCGCCCATATGCCCAGTAGTTGTTGTGGTTGCTGCTTTGTCTCAACTTTGCGTTGCACACGAAAGCAAAAACCCAAATCTGATGGAAGTTTATGTAATTGAAAAACATATTATTACAATATATCGGCTATTAGTTTCATTCAATGTTCAATGTTCAAAAAAATCAAAATTATAAAAACCAAACTCTGTTATACATACGAAAATTAAATGCTAGAGTCTACAAATAGTTCCAACATCTATTTTATTTGAACAAATTCTAAAGATGTAAAATGGCATTTAATTGAAAAGGTAACACTGACGGTTGGAAAATTCAAAATCTTACCAAAAGTAAGCAAGAAATGTGCAGTTTTCGTTTTTTCTCTATTCATTTGCATTGTAACACATTTCTGAATTCCTTTACTAGATGGTACACTGTACCTGTAGCATAATAAATCTTAAGAAAATTATTAATACTTGTAATTCATTACAGATTACATAGTTTGAGGAGCATATTTATAAACAGAAACAAATTTTATTTTGCAGCTGAAATAAATAAATAATTTGTGATTGGGAAGTAAAGGGTGAAGTTGTGCTTTTTCAGTGTGTTGTTTGCTTGCTGTAGGACCGTAGGGCCTTAAGCTGCGTTACAGTTATTGCAACTGTTAACTGTAAAACGTGTGAGCTCTCCAGAACATTAACGTGCAAACTGCCCGTTCGGCCGCTTGACTGACAAGACAAATAATTACAAGCTGCAGCTGTCAAGCTGTTTTGGTCGTCGTCGGGTTTAGCTTAGTTTTGGTTTAAATGACATTTTAAGTGTTTGCCCATGGATAGCTGTTGACGCGGACCGGTCGAGCGTCTTTCGGGCGCGTCACAGAAATTGCTAATGAACAGTAGCCGCTTTCGGTGTATGTGTAAAAATTAGCACTTGGCTGGCAACGCTTAAAAAGTGAGTGATAAAATATGGAAAAAAGAGATGTTGGAATGTCGCTATCATAAGACAACAGTAAATGCGCTTCTATTTTGTTTTATTTTATTTAATATTTGATTTTGTACCCCTTTGTCGCCGCTGCAGACGATGGACCTATAATGGCGACATTTGCAGGGCATTTCGTCAGGTGCTGGACCGACAATCACTTGGCTGCCATTACACGCAGCTCTGCGTCCCTTGTGCCGCTCTCTGAAGTTGCCGAAATTTTAACAAGTCCATTTCGAAACAATAAAAATCATTGAGATGCTATGCCGTGTAGCGTGCATTGTACTTGAGTCGCGGCTTCACTTCAAAGTCGGCGGCAATGCACGACGGCGACTGAACATAAAACGAGTTAACCTATTAAAGCCAACAGTTTGATTCCACTGAGCATGAGCGTTTAACTTTGTAGAATTTGAAAATTGATTCAGCATTTCAGTCCATAAAATAAAATCAACTATTCAATGAATATTTGTTATGTTACAAGTCATTACAAGTGACTGTCGCAACCCAAAAAAACCTACTCTTGCTCAACGTGTTCGAAATTGATCAAAAACACTTTCAAATAAAAGTAAACTGTCATTGCAGTATGAAATAAAAATGATTAATTTAGTTGAGTTATAACAAGATAGCAAATTATTTTTTTCAAGTCCGCCAAGCAGTCCGAAAAAAAATAATTATGTAACTCATCCTATTTAGCTGTTCTTAGTTCTATGACTCTCCAGATACTATAAGCTGCTACCCTGAAAATGTACGTACATACATGCATATGCAAGTTTATTCAAATATCGCACCAGCTGCTCAAAGGGTTAAGAAAGAACCTTATTTATTTGAGTGTTCCAAGGAAATTGCACACTTTCTGTTGTGCACACACACGCACGCCTACACGTTCACTGGTGCATAATTGAATGTTGACTACTACTATACATCTCTGCATATATGTACCAATGAACAAATGTTATATATACGTATATACCTATATATACATATGTGTGCATGTACAAGTATATATACATACAATATAAATAGGTAGATGATGCTGTAGGTACCATTGCTCAGCAAACTCCGGCTTCGTCATGACTTCGCATCAACTGGCGATGAGTAAATGTTTAACTTAAGCTAAAGTCGAAAAATCAGTCGGTGAAAACAACAACAACAACAATACCAACACCAATAGCTATGGCAATCGGTGAATAGAAAAAGAGTTAAAAAACACACGACGCATGTTCGCTCACAATTTAGTGGCGTTTTTCACATTATTGAACCGATGCCCGCCCGAACCAAATCCCAATCCCAATTCCAAACTCAATCCCAGCACCAGCACCATCCACTGAACGGACGTTCGGCTCACATCTCATCGCATGTACATGTTAAAAATTCCAGCCGTGCGATGATGATGACGACAACAACGACTACACACGGGCAGATGGACGGACGGACGAACTGACAGACACACAGACAGACAGACAGACAGAGAGTCGGACAGGGACAGACAATCGGTGAGTAAAGTTAGGTTGGCAGTCAGGCAGACAACTGAACTCGCAACTAAAATCTTGCTGCTACCCCACTTAGTTGTTGTTGTTGTTATTTGTATTTGCCTATGATTCTTTTTTATGTATGTGTTTGTATGTGCATTTGGAACTACTGTGATTGTTGTTGTTGTTGTTTTTTCACTGCTGCCGTTGTATCGAAAAAAAGTTACGTAGCAGTCAAGTGAAGTAAGGTAAAAAAAAAAAACAGAAAGGGGTACACATACACATACATACTATATATGTATATATGTATTCACCTTAGTGCGTTTATGTGTGTATGTGTGTGTGTGTGTGTGTGTGTGTGTGTGTGTGTGTTTGTGCAACTTTATAGCAACGTATCGCACCTCTGTTAACATTTTGTTGTTGCTGTGGCTGCTGCTGCTTCTTCTTCCTCTTTCATTGCGTTTGTGTTTGTTACTGTTTTTGGCATCTCTTGAATGACAGGTTGTTGAAAAATTCAATTTATCTGATCGCCGCAGTTCGTTCCGAGCGATGCGCGACATCGAAAGCTGGAAATTTTCAACTCGCGCGTCTCCCACGCGACGGTAATTTTTAACTCAAATCCAAAACGTACAGAGTGCGAGACGGAGTGACAAAGCGTGTGATATTGTGCATCGGCGTGTGTGTGTGCGTGTGTGTATATATGTGTGCATGCTTCAGGACAATTGCTAACGAATAAGGAAAAATAATACCACAATCCGGCAACAAATAAAATAATAACAGTAATATTTGAAAAATAAATAATGAATACACAGAAATTAAAGCTGCAGAAGTAGGAAGAAATTGTGCTTGTGGCAACGACTACAGTTTAATTGCAGTGAGTGTGATTTATTTCTCCAATTAATACAAGTTGAGCCCGATCTTCAATTTGCAATTCAATAATTGATTACACTTATTTATGATTGTTCCCATTTCTTTCATGATTGTGCCTTTTAATAATTATATTTTTGTTTTGGTTACAAATTTATTTCGAAATTTGTTGTGTGCCTTGATCAGTAATGCGTTTATTCTGTGTGTTCGATGTTTTTCCCCTCCTTGGTCTTGATGATCGTGCCGCTAGCATCATTCTGTGGGCGCTGCACACGCCAACGTTTTGCCAACCATATATTGGCCTGCATATATAGTAACAAAGCTAAGGCCATAAAGAAGATCAGTATGAAATTCCAAGCCATGGCCAATAAGCAACGCGAGACGGCTTGAAGGGCCTTGCGTAGACCTACACAAACAATACAATTGTTTTCCATTTTCTTCAAATAAACTAATACATCAATTTTTATAAAGTTCTAATGGGCAATGCTAAGGTGTTGTGATCACACGAAGCAGAAATTTTAAATCTGATTTCGATTCAGCGAAATATATATTTAAAATGTATGTATTTGGTCATAACACTTGTTAACAGCTAACTACGATCATTTTGTAAGAAAGAAATTATAGCTTTATCCCGGCTGTGGGGTACTTTGTGCCAATTTCAATTTGTTTTAAATAAATATTTGTTTTAAATAACAAGATTGTTGTGTGTTAAAAGGCTGCTGCGCTAAGCAGAACATTGTGAAACGATCTTGGGAGTGGTCACATTTTCAATCTCGTTTGATAGAATGCATTCTAGAATTACTTTCTTGAGTCTGCATATTGTTGCCATCATTTAGTTGTTTTCAATTTTCGTACAGTTTTAATTTTAGAAATTCAGTTATAAGCAAATAAATTAAAACTTCAATGATTCTGTGTCCAGAGCATGTCATCATCATAACAAACTTTCCCATTAAATAATGCTTACGAAAACGGGGATAGAAAACAAAGTAATGTTAAATACCACTATTAATATTTTATGTTACTTGCCTTTTTATTTGGAATTTCAACAGGCCCCAAAGATTGCGATCTACCCAAAGCGGCACTCACAGCCCTCCACGCAGGCGTCAATAGCTTCGGTCAGTTGCCAGGCGCTCAAAACGTCTCCGATCTTGCATTGAACGGCGGCGCCGGAGGCGGGGCTGGAGGCGTAGGCGTCGGCGTCGGCGTGGGCGTGACTCGACTGCATGTAGCGAGCGGCCTGTGTGACAGCTCAAATGCGCTCAACAGTGCTAATAATCACAGCAGCAACAACAACAATAACAACGGCAGCAACAACAACAACAACAATATGCAGCAACAGGATCAGGTGAGCATGCGTCGAAGAGACGATCAAAAAATTACATTTTGCTGGCACAAAAATGCAAGTAAAACCAAAAAAAAAAAAAAAAAAAAACATTTCAATAATCCATGTTTCTTTCGATGTTTTTTCCTCAAAACTACTATGCATATAAACTAATTCGAAAAATAATTTGCCAACAAAAATTGTGAAAAATCAAACCAAAAATCTATTTGCCTAATGTGAATGTGTGTGTTGAATTGTGTAAAATAATAATCATAATAAAATTGTAATGTGCAATGAAAAAAGTAAGTGTGATTTTATTTAAATATCTATCTACTTTATGTAATTAGCTCCCTAAATCACAACCCTCTATCTATGTAGACTAGCTTAGTGCTGTTAACTTAGTCATCTAATCGTTCTGTACGATATTTGCAATTATACATATGAATATTTGTAGCTGTCTTTGTCGTTGTTGTTGCTATTACTATTATTAACTAATTAGTCACTGCTACATCCCTCTCGCTCACTCCTCTCCCTTTCTTTTGCGTTGCAGCAACTCGATAAAAACAAGCAGAAACGTCATCGCACGCGCTTCACGCCCGCCCAGCTGAACGAACTGGAGCGCTGTTTCTCCAAGACCCACTACCCGGACATCTTTATGCGCGAGGAGATTGCCATGCGAATCGGCCTGACGGAGTCGCGAGTGCAGGTGAGTTTTAAATAGTTGATGGTCGCGGTTGGCGACCAATGCCAATGTGTTTTGATACTTGAATGCGTTGCGGTTCCGCCCACCGGTTTTACAACTTTCTGCGGTCTGCCGCTCTGTCAATGCGTCACTTATCCACTGCCTCGACGAGAGTTAGATTGCTTGACAGTAACTGCATGGGCGGTTAGTTCAACATGACATTTCACTTGTTTGTCTCTGTTGCCAAAGTCGCAGTTTTGAATATGTATTTGAACGGGCTTCGTTTAGTTTACGTAGTTTATCTCGGAAATATTGGAAACTTAAGTGGTATCGCCGATTTTCGGCTCAATTTCAATTTCCATTTTCTACTGAAGACACCTTAGACAAAGAACCTATGTATGTACATTTAGCCAGCAGTTGTCGGCCAAATATTCCAACTTTCGATAAAGTACGCATGCTAATTTTTTTCAAATATATATTCAAGAGCGAGACTCTATTTGTAGAAATAAAAGTTATGGTCAGGTGGAAAAATAAACTGCATATAAATATGTCGTAGAAGGGCTTTAAACAAATGTAGCTTAAGTTGTTCTGATGTTACAATGGAAAGGTATATTGGTAGCCGACAGAACTTTATTCAATAAAATAAAATAAAGTAAAAGATGTGACAGTTTGAACAATGGGACATATTTATTCTTAAAATATATCATACTACCACAACTTATTAATGTCCAGAGCAGAGCAACACTTTAAATAACAGCGTTTTATGATCCAGGCAGACGGCGCCATTTAAGCGCACGAAATTATACTTTATTAAAGCACATAAACTCACATTTATGCAGCACTCGGTCTCAGCGAGCGCGCGCGTCTGTGTGTGTGTTTGTGTCTGTTAAGCCAAAATAAAAAACAAAAACAAGTGCGACTTATGACTCCCACTGCCGCAGCCAATTTGCAGAGCACACACACAAAAGCTCATATACTCACAAACAAACACAAATATATACACACACACACGACCAGTGCCAAAGTTTTCCAAAGCATCGCAGACACACGAGCATATACATACATACATGCACAGACACACACACACAATTATATATAAGCGAATGATGCTTTTGTTCCTACCGCTTACCGCTCCCTTGTTGCTGCTTCGGGTTGTTATTGTTGTTGCTGTTGCCATTATCCCTGCTCACTGCTCGGTGCTCGCCGCTCGCCGATAGCTGCCTGTGGCGTGCGCCTCGACCTTTGCATGCGGGCGGGTTTTGTTTATGCGACAATCGAATTTACTGCTTCATTAAATTTGTGTTTAAGCTTCCGCTTCCTGCCATGCAGAACATCCAAGTGGTTCGGCTCATAAGCCTTGAGCCTACAACTATGTGCGAATTGTTTTGCGACTTAAATAAATGTCAAAAGTTGGTCCTGCAACATATTGGCCATAGCAAAAGAGTTGGCCCAGCCAATTGGTATTCAGTTTGATGCTGCCAAGACGAGAGCAATCAGCTGAATGGCAATGCAAGACTCTTTGGAATGGGGCTCTTGATGTTCTGGCATTGAGGGCGTTAACAAAATTGAATAAAGTAGCCAATCATTAAATCACGTAATAAACTTAATAGCATGCGGTATTAGTTAGTATTATCTTCCGACTGTTAACTAACAGATGATGTAATAGCTAATTATGCATTCTGAAAAAAAAAAACGTTACTCTCGACTCGGCGAGAAACAACTGTATTTTCTTTTGACTCATTCATCGCTATAAATACAGTGTCTGGCCAAAAAAAGTGTTGCGTGCTTTTTGGAGCTGCCTGGTCGACGACACCTTTTTCTTTTTTCTGGCGAACCGGACATGCTGCTTTGATAAATTGTTTTAATAATTGCGTATCAGTGTTTGGTTGTTAATGCATCATCCTGGGGCGCTGTCAGCGCTGGGAGGGTTGTCAGCCCTTCCCCGGATGCGGGGGTTGCTCGTTGTCTGCTCCATGTGGGCACGCATTGATGTGATTTGCCGTCGGGTCGGGCTATTAACACGCTATAATGTTTGACTTTCCAATGTTGTTTTCTTTTTTTTGGGCTTTGCGGCTTATGGAATGTCAGCTTATTGGATTAGTTTAGGCTTATTTCGTACACTGCACTGTAACTGTCCTTGTTGTTGTTAATAAAATTAGCATATAAATTAAGTTTGCATGCTGCGCTTGTGTATGTGAGTATGTGTGTGTTTGTATGAAGGTGTGTTTCCTTTCCTACTGCCATTAATTCAACATAAGGTTTAACAATACAAGCTTGTGGCAAAGCAAGAATTTAAAGTGAAACTGTGGCTTGGGCCGACCACAAAATTCTTACCCACGAACTTTAACACTTCATATGATATGCCTAGCCTGTCCTTTTTTCCAATAGGCGCGCTTGTCTCGCCACACCTTCATTTGATATGCACACACACGTCCGACCCTAAATCAATCTACAAGGATTTGCAGCTAATGACGGCATAAAGACAGGCACATAAATGGCCAAAATGCTGGCGTATTAACACAAAAATCAAGTCAACTCACGGTGATCCCCAATTCCGTGTGTAGCTTCAAGATTTTCCTGTGCAGTGGAACAAAATTCAAATACTAAGGACAAATTACATTTTATAAATGTTCTTGATAGTCCGGTTAATAATTTTACATTTGCAGCAATCTAACTCTCGTAGAGGCAATGGATAAGTGACGCATTACATTTGCTGAGCACAATTTCAACTAATAGCTATTCTTCAAAATTCAGTATAAACTGAATACAAATTTCGCATTGATATTGAAAATAGAAGTATTATATTATGAGGCAGAATATGCTATGTTTAATGGGTGTTGTGCCCATTGTGCAGCTAAAGCTTGAAGTTAACTTCATAGCCACACACGTCTTTATGAATACTCGTATATGAAATATGCGAGTGCCTCACATTAGTTATGAGACTCACGTACTAGATATCGCTTGAGTGTGAGCCAAAGAGCTGAGCGTCTAAGTTGCTGGAAGTCATCATGTAGTCTGGCTATGTAGTCAGCAGCAGCATAGTCAGGACTTTGGTAAGTTTAATTATGCACTGATACGAGTATAATTTAATAGACATGTTGCACTTTCTTTGTCAATGGCACTGACAAATCTAATGGGATGCTATTTTTGTTCAAATGCCAAAGTATAATTGTTTACAAAGGATGCCCAGAGGGTGGTGCAATTTTTTAATTTGTGTGTTTCACAGCTAGAAGTTGACGCTTAAGCGTCTTATCACCCCGATCTCCCACACCCCACCTAAGCACCACCCATGGTCAGGCAATATGTTTCAAACTCTCGGCTTGCTCTACTGCATTTGGCAATTTCTGTGGTTGCCAGCGACACGTGAGTGGGCGAGAGCGAGGGTGAGGACGTGTCCCCCTTGATGAGCTCGAAATTGACTTATCATGATTTTACATTGTGCCCCTTGTCTGTGTGTTTTCTGGTTTCTGTTCTCTCCGTTGTTGGTGCTTAGTTGGGCATGTTTTGCATTTATTGGTTTGTTTATTAAATTGTTGCAATAGCCAGCAGCCGCGGCGCATTGCCCGCTGGCTGTGGCGGCGGTCAGCACGTGCCGTAGTGAACTAAATGAATTTCTCACATGATTAATTTGCCTGGCAACAGCAACAACAATTTCAACTTCATGCCAGGCAACCAATTTCTAAATTCAAATGCATGCAGCTACTTAGTACTGGATGGGATATTTAAACATGAAATTACTTTAAACTTCGATAACTCGCCTAATAGCTTGTAGCACTGGAAAGCTGATTACTGGAGCGGGATGTGTTAATATTACCGAGAGATAGACATTTCTACTCCATCTGTTTCAGTAGCTAGTGATGTATCCCTTATACCAAAATCTTTTGACTCCTTTCATTTTAATTACACCCTTTAACAAATAAAGAAAGCAATACTGTTATTCCTGCTTTTATTTTCTGACTTGTACAAGATCTCGTCAAGCACTCGTTCCCTTAAGCTCTATAAAAATTCACAGATAATTCGGACCACAATTAACTCGAATTAAGGCAATTTTCGAGTTAATTAAGGCAATTTTCATTACATATATGTACATTAAAAAAAAGGGCAGTTTTATCGAAAGTATATAACAAAACTCTTTCGGAGCTTTCATTCAACATTTCGTATTATTTATCAACTGTAATTTTGATTAATATTTCATTAATATTTGACTAATAATACTAACAATTGACTGGAGAAAACATGTCTTAAATCGACCTTCACATTCAATTTAGTGTAGACCTGCCCTCACATATACTTATGCACTGTGATTAAGGTCACTTTTACAATTCATTTATATTCATATTTGCAAGTTTTTTAACTATATCTTGAGTGTGCAAAGTCTTCAACTTTGTAAGTGAGTGACCTTTACTAACACACTCCTCATCGATTGAATCCACACAGGCAACTAAATCTAGCAGTGATAAATTATGTCGGCGTCGGGAAACTAATTTATTTTGTAAGCCATCTAATGCTTTTCTAATAGCCCATTGGGCGCGCAGTTCAGCCTGTAAGGACTGGGATTCTGCCTTACCCAGTAGATTTATTAACATTAGGGCAGAGATAGGGGAGGCAATACGCGCGACTTAAGACATACTGAAAAGATCTACGTAATGCATACAAGTAGTATACATACTTAACTAAAACTGTAAGAAATATTTTCTTATGAAAATTCCAAGAAATGCGAAATTCACAAACTTGTGAAACAAAATATGTACTTATTCATAGCGTCGAGCTGCACAACAAAATAACAGCAGCAGCTCATAAAAAATGTAATCAAATTGTAAGCAAAAAATTCGTACAAAAAGCGAGCTACTGACTAGAGACCAAGATATGAAAAATATTTCCAAGCTCACAAAGGCAGCACGAACAGCAAAACATAATTGAAGGGGAGCCCCGACAGTAGACGTGTTTAGGTGCAACAATCAAAGCCTCTGTTTCTATGTCTGATAACCATGGCATCGCATTTTAATTAACGTTTAATTGAAATA